GTATATTAAATGAACGTGGAAATAGGTCAAATGGGCAAACGGGACCTTAGAAATGAGATATTAGCGCCTTATGACCAATAAGTAGATTCTAAATTACGTGTGTATGTGACTGTACTATATGCACAGTTACATGTTTGGCTGTTATACAATACCAAGACTATGTACTATACATTATTATTCCTGGGCGTGTGCGCTTAGTATCAAGACGATGCCCTACGATACGGCACATATTGTATGGCCAATGCCCATAAGCTCTGCGGCTACGGTCATACATCACGGAAAATTCCGCCAACAAATTAGTATGGGACGTTTCGCATCAAACACTAATAATACCTATGTGTTATGAGCTCTTCTCCATATTGCTGTTACCATGCAACTGTCAGTCGGACAGTTAGATGCCAGTGTAGCAGCTAGTGCTCTTGTCAGGAGGCAGTGAGTGAGCATCTACAGGACGCAGGAGAACCTAGAGAGTAACATCATAGCAAAATTTCTATGCTGGACTCTTGATTATAATCAACAGGCCCAGGTGTTTATGCCGCAGTGAGACGCAAGCTCGCGGCTCTAAGAAAATACATTTTCGTTTGAGAAACGAATCGGGACTAGGTAGATGAGGGTGGAGAGAGAGCCTACGCGAACTATCAGCGGCGTTGTTGTCCTGATATGAAGGCCGCATGTCTGACTCGCCTGTCTTACATTCACCAGACACCTGTACCAGTGCTGTACTTGATAGGCTGCAAATTTACACGCGTGTCGCGGCGTCTTATCTGGTTGAGAGCATGCAGCTGTCTATAGGCGATTATTATTACTTGCGTACTCGTCCCTTGGACGTAGATTTTACCGTCCTCTTGCGTATAAGGCAGTCGATTTGTCCAACCCCCATGTTGTTCTGTCATCTCTCGTCTCGTCAGTCACTGATGGCGGGGCGATCGGGGCTTGAATGGATGACAGTAGAATGACTCATGCTGTCTTCTCCTGCGCGTTGTTGAGTGACTTATTTGCATTGGGTGATTTTGTACTGGATTCCTTTCGCAGTCTATATGCGCTCGTGCATGTTGCCTCTCCCCGGGCATCCCTTCTCCACACATCGGCCAGCGTACTTCGCTTATTACATACACTATATGAGGAGGATGACTCACTCATTCATAGCTTCGGTAGCTATGTTATGAGAGTATAATCAATGATTATTAATCATAAACGTTTGAGAAATCACCTACCGCGTATAATATATGTGGTTTGAGGGAGAACCTCGTTTCAACTTTATATTGCAATCGTAGGTCGAAACTAACGCCCCTACAAAAACTAAAAACTAATCATAAACATAAACTAAAAAAAACAGAATAATATCCGTTTTTCGCCTAAGATATAGAAATTAATCGTCACTGACTTGCAATATTGAGTGACAGATAGGCATTCTTAGATGATCAGTACTGGATGACAATTATCTTTCCATTTTCGCTTTCCATTGAAACGTATTTAACAAAACGTCTGGCGAACGAATGATGCTTCTATTATGATCCGCCCCCCCCCCATGCGACAGTTTGCATGTAGCAATTACTGAACCAAGACTGTAGGTGATATATCGACGCAATTTATGCCAGGCGTTAGTCAGTCTCTGGTGACCACGGTGCCATGGCCGACGTCTTCTAAATAGGACAGGCGATATATAATAATATCAGAAGCGAATAATAGACGTCGGCCGTAATATAATAATAATGTGTATATAATGGGTAGACATATATTTATATTTACATATGTCGTGCATAAACATAACTTTATCTAAGCATATATAGGAAATGATAACTGGACAATGTAATAAGTCAGCTTGTCCTGTTTGGCGATATCTCTGGTAATATCACGTGTGTTTTCGAGCTTCGATAAAGAGGCAACCCATTAATCTTACTATTCTTAGCCAGCTCCTGCTGCTAGGAGTGAAGAGAGAGAAGGGGGGACAGACCAGCGCGACAGACGATTTATGTTAGCGCTTTACTGAAGCAAAGTACATCAGGTTTGCACGACAAATAGAGATGGATATATAGGCATTGTTTTGCCACACTGATAAATGCACAGCAAATCGCTGTTTATTCGATTCGTAGATAATTTATTTGTGGCTTGTGTTGTGATCCCATTTCAGGCCATTGTTAAAAGATTTACTGTTTGCAGTAAACAGAATCTTTGCAACGCAGATGTGGGTATAAACAACGAGGATGGTACGCCTTTTGCACACGTACTAGCTGTACTCATATACTTAGATAACAATTTGAATTATGAATTAACATGATCATAATGGACCACTCAATGCCATACAATAAATTTTTAAATGCAGCTTAAAATATATATATTTGATTGCTTACGGATAGCTGAAGGAAATGAGCAGTAGCGCTGCCAGTTTAAAAAAAGCCAAGCAAACTGAATTTTTTTAATGGTGATCTGTTACACCTTAAAAGCGATAAAAGTTTTTGGTCTGAATTAAATTTCTACAAAGAAAGGCTGTAAGCCTCGAATCATGTTTTATTTACTCTAACTATACTACTGCCGTTTTTGTAGGCCTGGTGCCACGAGAAGTGTGTCTTTACTGTGCAAGAGTGCATGTCGATTCCGTAGAGAAATTGCGAATGGTGACAGGTGTTCCCCAGTTTGCCTTCCCGAGTGCAAACTGTTGTATCCTGTTTCCAGAGTTGTTAAAGTTTTGTTAGCCACGCACAAACTATTGATTCAATCGAATACTAGTACTGCCCGTAGTATATTGCTGAAAATAGTGACATGGAGATCGATCCGTGTTGATCAATTACTCTGGGCAAGGCTGCAGGGAAAGCAGGAGTGAAAGTGTAATGCATGTAGACATGGGTGTGTCGAAACTGAATGCGAATTTTCGGAAGTACAACTTCTGGGGATTTTGAAAGCAGGCAATTTAAATGTCCATAAAATCAGAACTGTACTATGTCAATTAAGTCGAGCTAACAAGAATTTTATAGAAATTCTAACTTACATTTCTGCGCAAAGTTATTGTATTGATACGATAAGATCAAGTATGCCATTAATTGCTCTTATATGTACAGTGTGTTGCTTATGTTCGTTTAATATTACCAATAATTGCCCAGTCTCTCATCTGGTATACGTGTGCCATTGTCAATTAATGATCAACGAAACGACACCGGAGTAAAATTAGAAGCAGCAACCCAATAAAGCATCACTGAAATGTTGGCTTTCTATGCTGAAACGACAGCATCCGCAAGAACCAATGTTTTTTGGAGAAACCGCTCTACGACTATGAAAGATTTCGGGCTAGCCATAGTCAATTTGTTTGCCGTGTTGTCAAAGGCATGTCTGGGTTTTCTATAAACCGACCAGGCTCTCCGACTGTTACACGACGGAGGGGACGACTGTTACCTCGGCCGACTGTTACCGGACGACTGTTACCTCTCGCCACGTAGTGTTAAGCGAGATGGGAACTTGTGGCTAGGTTTTCTACTGCTTAATTATTAACGGTGAACGTGGGTAAAGAATGTGTGCGCAAGGAAAAAGAAAAAAGGCTATTTCCAGCTCGCTGTCAGTCACTTGACTTCTACGTGTGACTATTGAGAACAGTTCAAAACAAGAAAAGATCGTCTGGGGGGGGGGGTTGCTTCGCACTCATTAAAACTGTTGGGACCAGTAACTTTTGACATCATTTGATCCAATTTCTGTCAAACAGACTCTCTGTGTGCAGTTGCGCCTACTCCAAATGTTAGAACACACATGTGCATTGCTCTAAGACCCGTTCTTACTATTCTTTTTCCTGCATAAAAAAAATAAAAATAAAAAAATGTAAAAAATAAATAAAAATGAAGAAATAAAAAGAAGAACACGTCTAACTAATAAACAGCCCAATGGGGTAAAATAATGGTTGGTAAAACATGAGAACGGGAAAGGTGTTTGAGACCCTCACTTTAAAGCATCGTTCAACCCCTGTGCATGAGTTGTTGTTGCACTAACAATTAAGTCACTGTTTATGAGTTCATAATTTCTGTACATTAACCTAGTGAAAAATATTTCGATTGCCTTATTAAGTTACTAGCGGGATACCCGGCGTTGCCCCGGGAAATCAGTGGCGTTACTCAGTTGGTGACCGCTTGGTTGAAAGGAAAATACCCCAAAAAATCTAACTATCTATCTATCCATGCATGCATGCATCCATCCATTCCATGCCATGCCATCCCATCCCATCCCACTGCATCCCATCCCATCCCATATCCCATCCCATGCCATCCCATGCCATCCCATAACATGCCATGCCATCCCATCCCATCGCATCGCATCCCATTCCATCCCATCCCATCCCATCCCAAACAGTAAAAAATAATAAGAAATCAAAAGATAAAAGACATTAAAAATAAAAAATAAAAGTAAAATAGTAAAAATAATACATACTAAAGAGGTAGGTAAAGGGAAAAAAAGGAAGAAAAGGGGAAAATAAGTTCCCCAGCCGGGACTCGAACCCGGAATCCCGGTGTAGGAGACAGATGTTCTAGCGATTAGGCCACTGCGCCGTTAAGGGTATACACCATAGATTCACACGTACGTGATGTTAATCTGTACGCACCACCATCTATTGATAAATAGAATTTTTATCAATTTTAAACTTTTTAACTTTTTGCTCCCAGACGTGCTGATTCTGAAAATATCTTTAGTTTTCCTCTAAGTTGCGTAGTTCTCTAGTTATGCGAGTATGGACTAATTCGGCTGAACAACTATATATATATAGATTTTCCTCTAGGCTGCGTAGTTCTCTAGTTATGCGAGTACGGACTAATTCGGCTGAACAACTTTATATATATAGATTATATCAGTAGCAGATCACTAGAATCACTCCTTCTAATCATCTACTCCCTGATTATATTCATGTACAATGTTTGCCCTTGTAGCAATTAGACAAATAAAGGGGATTTTTGGCTACAAACATGCCATGAAGTGGTTACTATACCGATAAATAGGGTTAATGCAAGCTTGCTTAATTTCTGCAGGACGTAAGGACATAGCTATGGAGCTGTACAAGCGTGGCATTGCTGAGCTGCACTGTGGCATCGCTATCAACGTGTCTGGTACCGGCAGTCACAGGGAGCGAGCGCAGCGGCTGAAGGAGAAGATGCGAGCGAATCTACAGATGGCTCTTGACAGACTGGACTACCTAGGTATCCAGCTTGTGTCACTTGTATTCCTGTCACAAGCACCTCACTGTCACTTCTCTCCACTCTACCAGCGTCTAGTTAGTTCAGTTGTGCATTACTGTTGCTCTGGGTTTTTTTCATAATTTTTTTCTCATTAATCTTTCATAATTTTTTTTTTATCAATTGTTTTCATAAGCAAGAAATGGTATGGAGAACATGAATGTGATTTGTTTATGCAGCACTATTGTGGTAATGCCATATAATGATAGTCTCACGCTGGCTCAGCTGCTCCCCACTTCCAGCAGTTATGCACTTGATGAACGTAAAATGTCTTGCATGGGTCAGTATTTATGTGGTCTACACGTGTGTGTGTGTGTGTATCTAGTAATTAGTTGTGCAATATTTTGGTTGCTTTTCATTGTGCGCATGTCTCTCTTCTTTTCTCTTTTTCTAGAGCAATTAGAGCTGGTAAAACGTTTAGAGGAAGGCACACTAGATGACTCATTGTACGCGGTGTACACGCAGTGTAGCGGGGCTCATAATGCTAAGACGAAGTCAAAAAACACCTGTAGACCGCACGTGATGCAGAGCAGTCCAAAAACGCCTGTAAGCGTGATTCGGAGTAAAAGTGAAACGAGGAGTGGCGACAGGAAAGCTGCTGCACCTGCCGCCGTGCACAGTAAGTGGGCGGGAAAAGGCGTCACGTCTACCGCTGCAGCTTCTGCAGGTAAACAGACAGCGACTGAGTTTGCCTTCGCTTCTGCCACGTCGGTTGGAGCGTGAATGAGAAGCAGTGGGAAGTAGAGAACAATGCGAGGCTGCATCAGTCGTGTGTGCTTTTGATCTTCAATTTCGATTTCCACGTTTTGGCATGTGTGCAACTAGTGAATGGGCTAGGAAATATAGAAACTCTACTTTGCTGCATTGTACATGTACAGTCTGATAGCAGACGATCCATACACTAAACATTCGACAATTTAAAGACGCTTAATTATCTACTTCGCATATATGCACACAACTAAGAAAGAAATCCAATGCAATACTCATAAACGCGCACTCACTAGCATGCACACCCACATACCTGAACTCATGCACACTCACATGCACGCACTTCCGTACGGTTTTGCATAGGACAGAAGTCTTTCCTCATACAACTAACTTACAAGAACAACCAATAGTACGGTGAAGTCCAACCAGCAAGTTATGTAGTCTGTATATAACTTCACTGCCAGCTGCACTTTGTTTTGGACTAATTTTATGTTTCTAGTTAGTTATAGTCTTAGGTTATCTGGTAGGGGCACGTGTGTTAACTCTTTGTAATAGTCTGTTTATTTGATTATGTTTTGTGTTATTTAATCGTGTTTATATTATTTACATGCAATATCGATTTACTATGTCGGTTCGTACCAGCATCAAATAGGCATCATATATGTAAAATTTATTATGCATAATTATGAATTTGTGTAAATTTATTTCACCAGTGCAATAAATACATGTGGTAAGGACATAAAAAATGTGGCAGAACCCAATTGCGATCATAGAGTGTGTAAAATGAATGGCGGTCGAATAGACAAAAAAAAGGGGCGAAGAATAAGTGAAAAGGAAAGATGGGGTGTTATATAGAAAAGAGTAAAGGGTGGATAAATACAGTTAACTCCCCCAATACCAACTACTCTCAGGACCATCCATTTAGCTCGTTTTTTTGTGAAGTTTTCTTTATACGTGGCGGGTAGGGGGGTCACCTTACATTCCTCAGATGGTGTAAAAACTTGAAAAATTGTTCAGTTTAACGTGAGGTTCGGTTTTGAGGACGTTCGGAATTTGGAGAGTTGACTGTATAGAACCAGAGAGAGGAGCGAGTGAGTGAGATATATGTAAAACGACAGATGGGAAGAGAGAGCCAGCGAAAGAGAGAGAAAGAAAAGTGGGAAGAGCAAGAGAGAGGAGGGAGAAAGGGATGGGGAGAGACAGAGGGATTGGCAAAGCAAGAGCAGGTCATAGGCTTAAAGAGAGAGGAGGGATGTTTATAGAGAGGGTGTAGAACGACCCCATCATAGCCGACGAGAAGAAAAAAACAGAAAGGAGAGAGAGAGCCAGAGAGAGAGCCAGAGAGAGAGAGAGAGAGAGACAGAGCAGAGAAAGGGAGAAGAGAGAGAGAGAGAAGAGAGAGAGAGAGAGAGCGAGAGAGAGAGAGCGAGATGGATCGAAGGAGGGAGATAAGGCCAGATAAGGGAATTGCATGAGAGGTAGGAGGAACAATACCGAATAGGGTAGCTCTGCAGTCTGAACTACTGAGCGGGCAGCAGATATATTAAAATATTTCGATATGTGATTGTATTCATATGAGAGTCTAACGGATTAGAAAACGTGCTTGTGAGGTCTAGCACCTTCAAGAATTCTGCAGATGCAGTCAGCCTTGTTGTCTGAGAGACGACCTATTGATTATTATGCAGCAGCAGTTACCTGGAGCAAGAGCAATTGATGACGATTGCAGGCAGTTATTGTCCTAAACGTATGTTTCCTACTTACTACTGCCATGAGTTAATACGTGCTTTTCGATAAAAGACGGAAGCTTCTGCCAAGGTAGTTCTGCCTGTGTAGGTACAGGTACCTGTAGCAGGAGTGCAGTGACTGCACGGGTAGAGCTACTGTCATCAAGACAGATGTTTAGTGGCAATAATAATAGACTAATTTGTGCTGTCGTGTATTTATACAGTTGAATGAAATGCCCACAGATTGACATGGATTTTGATGGAGGCATCACACAGTTAGTGTACTGGCTTTTGTCAGGTTGCGTTGCGTGGCATGGCTATTTCCTGCTAAAAGCTTGTCGTTATGTGCTAGATCAGCAGTATCCCGAGTTTCAATGTAATCTTTTTCTAGACTGTGATAATTGCTTAAGAGTGTTCTGCAGGGTTCCTTCTGAGGGAAAATTAGACTAAGGAGGTAATGGCCAGTTTGGGGAAAAACGTGCATGATGGATTCAAAGGCGTGCCACGGGCACGCATGCGGACGCTGCAGGCGGATGCGGGGGGGTGTTAGGTTGTTCTCCCAGCAAAATTTAAAAAATTTGAATTTCTTAGACTGCATTTGAGGCACTCTGAAAATAGAATTTCACTTGCCACATGACTCAGTAAACGCACATGGCAATCTAAATATGCCAGAAGCACGTGGTGATTTATATATTTTCAGGTTGACACTATTTTGACAACGGTGGGTAAATACAGGAACATTTTCACAACGGCGATGTTAAATTTGACAACGGCGGTGCGCCACTGTGCCTCATGTATAAGAAACCCTGTTCTGTCAGAATTCCTTAAATAGTAAACATTACCTTTGGTGGCATGTTTCCTTAAGTGACTGTTTTACTGTTCCTTATATAACTTCTATGAACAATTTACATAGAGGTTTTAATGCTCTAATCAGAAATCAGTGCTATTTTACAGAAAAGAATCTACTTTTTAATTATTATTCTAGCTACTGCAACCACAAAATCAGAGGGAAGGGGTGGAGTCCATCATACACTCACCAATAAAAGTCAAAGCTTGCCACGAACCAAGCCCACCGTTGCATCACGGAGTCCACTGACACAGCGTCGTATGTGCCCACCATCACCATCTTCTGGGGTCAGGAGGAACTATTCACAACCAACCGTGGCTACTACTGGCAAGGTATAGGATGTAATGAGAGGGGGAGAGGGAAAGAGAGTAGAGGAGGGAAAAGGGAGGAAGAAACATATAGACAGAGACTGCAAATGAGACCTGAGGAGGGAAATTGAGGAACTGAAGGAGAGGAGGGAAATAGAAATAGAAAGAAAAAATCAACACTTGAGTGTTTACTTGTGAAACGATGCTGTCGCAAGCATCCACATCTAATGCTCACACATACGTGAGGCTCACAACTCTAGCTGCCATGCGTCACCCGACACCCTCGCATACGTTGTGACTCACTCTCACATGCTCCTTCCTCGATGCATTATCTGACTTTGATGCGACTCGCTCTCATACGCTCCTGCCTCGGTGCGTTATTTGACTTTGACGTGACTTGTTTTCACACGCTCCTTCCTCGGTGCATTATTTGACTTTGACAAAACTCGCTCTCACACGCTCCTGCCTCACGGTGCGTTATTTGTTTTTAACGTGACTCACTGTCACACGCTCCTATCTCACAGTATGTAACTTGAGTTTTACGTGACTTGCTCTCGCACGCTCCTGCCTCACGGTGTGTTACAGGTAAAGGGTTCTCCAGCGCGAGCGACACGTGCAGGACGCATTGAGAAGAAGCCGCGTGCACTGAAGAACGTGGACTCTAAGCTGGCCAACGTGATCCTGGATGAAGTCGTCGATTCCGGCCCCACCATCTACTTCACCGACGTCGGTAACGAGCATTCTGTTGTCGTTAATGGCCGTGTGATTAGTGCTCTGCGTGCGCGTGTGTGGGTGTGTGTGTGTGTGTGTGTGTGGGTGTGTGTGTGTGTGCGCGCGCACGTGCGTGTGTACGTGTCTGTGTGTGGCTGGCTATATGAGTGCAAAAGTAAGTGTTTATTTGTGTGTACATGAGTGTGTATGCGTGTGTACGTAATGTGAAAACGTATGTCACGGTAAGTACTGTTACTTTCTCTCTCCCTCTCTCTGTCTCTCACTCTCTCTCCCCCTCTATCTATCTATCTATCTATCTATCTATCTATCTATCTATCTATCTATCTATCTATCTATCTATGTCGCGTGCGTGCGTTCTTTCTTCTCTTCTATCTCTCTCCTCTCTCTCCCTCCCACATGCCCTCCCTCTTCCCTATCTCTCTTGTTCTCTTGCTATCTCTTTCACTTGTGCTAATAGTACAAGTTACAAGCCCCTGCACAATTATCATTCCAGTCATATATGGTACAGTCTACTCTCAACAAAGGCTAATTTGCCTTGTTTGTTGTACCTCAACCATTAAAATCAGGCCATCATGCCAACTAAATATTTTTCTATTTTATTTGACTTGCTGGTTAATTACATTAATCTTACTATAGTATTCACCTAGAAAATTAAAAATGACAATCGGTGTCCACATGCTGATCTACCTATAAAATCAGTTGTCATTTACTAAGTTGTTACTGCAAACAGGAAATCGTTTAATGGTCGTCTGGATGGCTGTGGTGGAGCTGGCATTCATCGTCATCAGTTTTTGTATGTTGCTATTTCAGCTGGTCAGGAAATGGCCAAGCAAGCTCTGCAGGAGATTGTCATACTTCCTTCCATCAGACCTGAGGTATGCTAGGCACTAAGTTAGCTTTAGCTAATAGCCGCAGGCATGACTAACGTGTATGTGCATAACAGGCATGCATTCTGCTGTCAGTACATGTGCAGGGCCGTTGCCTGCAGGGGGCAAGGGGGGGCAGCTGCCCCCTAGATTTTGGAGCAAAATTTTAATAAAAAGTTCTACTAAAAGAGAATTGTCGTAGTCATAATGATGGCTGAAAATGTACTCAAAGGTGCCTCAAATACCATCTCCTGCAATCTACATTTTCAAAATCTTCTGTGGGAGGGCCCCCAGACCCCCTACTTGTTTCTCACCCCCTCCTTGAAATCCTGGATCCGCCACTGCCCCCCCCCCTAGGAATTTGCTCAGCCTACGGCCCTGATGTGTGCATACATGCGTGCCAGCTTTTGTGTGTGTTTGCAAGTATTTTATGGAGGCTTTTTAAGCATTCGCATTTGGTTGTGTGAGCATGTGTGCACTCATGCCATATTATAGGAAAGTTTTTGTTTTATGGGTAGAATAAAAAACACCATATTTTCGATTAACCGTGATTTCAACATTCCCCAGAAACATATCTGGGAAGTTTGACACGTAAAAGCGACCAATTTGCAATCTATGCACGGTAGACCTGGGGAAACCGGATACATTTCAATCAATATCTAGCCTACGGCAGCCACCTCATCAGCCATCATTCCAAAGTTGTACGAAGGACATCAATGCACCTAAGTGATTAGATAAGAAAAACAAAGGGAATAGCAGTTGAATCAGGAATCTAATGCAAGCTTTTTTTTACCCAAGCCTTGGCTAGGCTTCTTCTTTTTTTTAATCATCTGAAATAAATGTAAAACCTATAGTGAAATATAGTCTCGGTTATTAGTGGATAGGCTTCATTATAACAGCTTATAAATTACTGTGGATTTATGCTGTTATGGTATATGAACTATCAAGTAACGCAGCTACAAATGCATCTAATTCTGACAAAAGTGCAACTAATTCTGTGATGATAAGTGGTTGTAAACTGCTACTGCATCTCTGTTACTTAATGCAAGTTACCATCAACAAAGTGTAAAGACGGTCTCGCGAGAAACAACAAGAAGTCAACAAAGAAATGTCAATGGTTGCATATGTAACAATGTACAAGACTTAGTGTTCTAAAACACGTTTGCCTTACTGTAGACATTTGCTGTTACACAAACAATAGCAGTAAGTAAATTAATGGTTGGGAAAACATGAAAGCAGTCGTTAAAATTGTTTGAATCCTTGCAAAATTCTTCGAAATGCTTAAAATTGCCAAAAAGTGGCTAAATAGTGGCAATTACGTGGAAATGCGTTTGTGGATTGTTACCACAGTGTGTCACACACTCAATATTGTCGTCGTATTGTCCTCACTGATCAAGCTGTCTAGCTGTGTGCCTGTACATTTTGCTTGTACATACTATTATTTTTGTCCTGTTTCTGCCTTTGATCGGCTGTGGCTAATTTTGCCATACTTGTTGTGAAGATAAAAGCGTTCGCTTTTAACTTAAAGAGAACGAAAGATGCGGAGCTTCTCTTTTCACTGATACGTTTTTACGCGTTCGATTTCCATGATGAGTAGCTACCACTCAGCACCTGCCTGTCATGCCCGGCTAAAAAAAGATGCCATGAATCACTGACGCACGTGAGATGAGAAAATCAAGGCATTCAGAGCTCTTTAGATTTTGCCTTCCATCTACATCTATATGGTTACGTCGATCTGTCACTCTTGACAATTACTCCACGGTTTCCGGTGGGCGCAGGAAAAAGAAAATTTACAATAAACATTGCACAGCTATGTGCAGCATCTGTGAAGGACAAACTTGTACAAACATTCCAGATGTACCTAATGAGGACAACTGAAAGAACTGTGTAAAAAACAATTTTGAAAGAATTTAATGCTGAAACATTGAAACAGTATGTAATCAACAAGATTTTACTTGTACCTCTCCAATTCTCACCTTTAATATACATTTATGATAAACCCAACATGGGTATATTCTTAATTTTATCCTTGGCCCAATTTCGTAAAGTCGACCCCCACTGTAACACAATTTGCCCCTTAAGAGTTAAATACTGTCTAATGTTATGTTTTTCAAGTCTAAATGCTATCTAACTCATACGTTTCTACCAAGGTTACAAAGAAATATAGGCATAGTGAACCCATTTCAATCGTCCGTAGGGCCTATTTTATACTGGGGGTTGACTGTACTTTGATCATGATTTCTGAGTTAAACTCCAAGAGGATTTTCTTGGGCTTTTGATATGTTATAACAGATGATATTAAAGAACTTGTGTAAAAAAATCAGCTTTATAACATTTTTTTCACGTTTTTACCAATATTATATCTAATGCTCCTGGACTATAATGGAAAAACAGGATTTAGAGGCAATACTATAAATTAACGAAGCCAGTGTAAAATGGCTTATATTAAAGCCATAATTATCATGGACATGTTAATTTAGTTTTGATGGCATGATTAAATATTTTGTAGGACTTGCAAAAAAATAAACAACATGGGTGAATGTTTCGCTTTCCTGAAAATTCATTTTTGAAAATGATGCATTCAGTTATGGTGCGGTGCAACGAAATTCACATTAATAACTCTGCCGTTTTTGTTCAATTTTCACTCCCTAAACGAGTGGCTTGGGAGTAATACAAATACGACCATGAGAGATATTTAGTTGGCAACAGCGAGGGTCTGGGTATGTTTCCGAGTAGGCACAAGTATTGTATGTTTGTACTCACAATTGTATTCCACAGTTACACAGGAAAGACCTACAAAAGATATATTTGGAGCTTGTATTTTTTACAGGTTCTTAAAATATTTGTGTATTTATAAATAAGATAAAACAATAAATACTGTTACAAATCTAAGCAGAGTAAAAGTAAATGGTCGGTGTTTTTGGTATTACTATTATCTTATTTTAATCTGCGAAATTATTCAATGTGGATCATTTCAAGCCATCAACAAATTAGCACTAATAGCCTTCAGAACATGCTTCAAACTCAATACAATACTTTACATGCTTCACTTACGTCACCTAACACACCCTACTTCCCTCCCACCCTTGTCACTCACATTTAATACCCTTTGTAGAAGTAACAATTCTTGTCTACATTATAGATGAATTTATATCTACACCTTGGATTTGCTTCTGTGGAAGGTTTCAGTAATGGGGTTGCTGACTGAAACACCTTTTCTTATTGTATTTCAGCTGTTCACAGGATTGAGAGCACCAGCTAGAGGTCTCCTTCTATTCGGTCCACCTGGTAATGGAAAAACCATGCTGGTAAGATTTTCTTGACAAAGCTAGGTTTTTATGGAACATTATACAACTAGAACTAGATACGCACACGGCAAAGCTGTATAATTTACCTGGATCGGCATCTAGTAGCGATCTTATACGCGAACACTATACGATCACGAGAGGATAAGTAACGTAATAACCAGTATTACAATGGTTATATGTGCACCGGTTTTATAAAAATAAATTGCACGTAGTACGTGGACCTGTTTGAGGAGTTGCAGCACTGATAGTGCGTATTTTGTAGGCAAAGGCAGTGGCCTGCGAGTCCAGCGCCACATTCTTTTGCATCAGTGCTGCCAGTCTTACGTCAAAATACGTCGGGGAGGGAGAGAAGCTTGTCAGGGCGCTGTTTGCCTGTGCCCGTGAGCTGCAACCCTCCATCATCTTCATGGGTAACTATAGTTGTCGTGTTTGCTTGTTATGCTTTCATATTACGAATATAAAAATGATTCTAAAAGAGACTTGGTACCTCAAGAGTAAGCCCCGTTGAGTGGCTGCACTTGTGCAACACTTGCATAACTGTGATGTGACGAACACCTAACCCCACCTGAGCTCAGTCTAGCGACGTCCTAGCAAATAGGCAGGTTCTAGGTCAAGCTGAAGTCGTGACGACCTGGTAATCTCTACCCTGGGTCCGGGGACTTTTCCCAGAGTAAATTTGAGACACAGTGGTCTCGTATGTAGCTCCGAGAGCAAGTCTTCATGGTACCAAGTAGTTTGTGTTACATTTGTCAGGGATTTATAGGCAGTCTTATTAACTTCCCATTGTTTGTGGTGTGTTCATTGTGGTTCTTATTGAGTAGGTTATTTTGCTTTATCTGTTAATTGGAGTGTTAATTAAAACCTGTCAAGAAACAGTGCCCACTCTCATGTAGATTTCTGTTACCTTTTATGAGAGGCATTCTCATTTGGTGATTGTTTTCGGGTTAACTAGTGCTGCCACCTGGTAGTAGTTATTTTGTAAAATTTATGTAAAGGCTTATGAAATGTTCTCATATGTATATCTCTATATATCCTTTTAGATGAGGTGGACTCGCTGCTAACAGAACGCAAGGAGAGTGAGCATGAAGCTAGTCGAAGATTAAAAACTGAATTTTTGCTGGAATTTGATGGGGTATGCGACTAATACTAATACTAATAGTCTAATAATATCATATCACTGGTGAAGTAATATGGTTTATGGGGAGTACATAGTCCCCATGATACAAAAGTTGACAGCACAATTCCTGTAATACCTAATAAATCTGTCTGTGACCTGCTTTGCAGATAAATGCTAATGCTGAGGAGCGAATTCTTGTCATGGCAGCTACTAACAGACCCCAAGAGCTGGACGATGCTGCCCTCAGGTGGCAATTTTAACAACAATGTTTTTGATCATTGGCTCTTTATATATATATATATATATATATATATATTACGTATGACTGCATATTTAAAATTAAATTATAAATAATATTAATATTTTAAATGTTACAAGTATTTGACGTGTAAACAGAAAGCTTTGTTTTTACTAGTATTTTTATTCAAGACAACTAAATTATTGAGATTCCTTGATAAAAAGTGAATGGAAAAAGTTTTATTCGTCCAAATTATATATTACTTTTGCGTAGTGCATGATTATTAGTTGCATTCTGTAGCTGTTAAATTGTTACCAGAAAACTCATGTTTATTGATTTGGCTATTCAAGCATAATGCTTGTTATTGATTCTCTAGACGTTTTCCCAAGCGAGTCTACGTCTCCCTCCCGGACTATGCAACAAGAGCTTACCTGCTTTCCAATCTGCTGGCCAAGCAGAACAGTCCTCTGTCACAGTCCGACGTCAAAACACTAGCAACGTGAGTCTCCATTCATGAAGCTTGCTCACCATTTCGATTATTTAAATCCTTGATGCACTATTACCTAACAACACTACTGTAGGGTTGATTATCACTGTCTTGTTAATGGAGATTCAGTATTATTATTGAAGAAAGGTAAGTGTCATTATGCGATAATAATATTGCGTGCTTTTTGGCAAACATTTTTTACTTTGATGGTAATTCTATAACTGCACTGCAGTGAGTGCTATTACAACTGTTGCTACCTCCTCTTCAGGCTCACTGAGGGTTACTCAGGCAGCGACCTTACAGCACTGGCCAAAGACGCTGCGCTTGGCCCTATTCGAGGTATGCAGCTATGCCTACACAGTTTTACCATATTAAAGAGGTGTGATACACTGTGTAGCTGTTGTGTTTCTTTCTAACAATGAGATGTTAGTGTGTTCCTAAAGTTACATGATTCCCATGTGACATGGTGACCCCTAAATGTTTAAACAGTCCATCATACAGTTCATCCTAGCCACGTAGGCGTACTGTTCTCTAGGTTTTTCGGAGTATACTACATAGGTCACATGTCCATCTAGTTGTCTCTTGAGGGTAGTTTTAAGAAATTACAGCTACTCATATATCCTTTCATACCTGTTCCTCTTTCATATCGCACATATATATCGCTACATCAGTAAGTATCGATCTTGTACCTTTTTTTGAAGTCGGTTGATGGAATTACAGTTATGTGCATGTTCACAAATCACTGTTTGTCTCTCACATCAGACCTAAACCCGGAGGAGGTGAAGTCGGTTGACCCTAGCAACGTGAGAAACATCTGCCTGAAGGACTTCCGAGAGGCGTTGCGACGGATTCGTTCGAGCGTGCCGCCATCCTCACTGCTTGCCTTTGAAAAGTGGAATTCCGATTACGGCGACACTACTGCTTTCTAGAGGGCGCCGCTTCCCACTTTCGTTGTTCCAGTTGTTGTGCATGCAAGGTCGTTTTGGACATTGGAATGTGAATTCTGTGAGAGATTTCGTGTGCAAAGCGAGGAGAGCGAATGTCAAGTGCTGTTTCTTGTTCACAGATGTCGGATTTTTTATCATAAATAAAATAAAGAGTGTATTTAGATTTCACCACGACAGTCATTCCAAAAATCCTTGATTTCACGATTTACGGAAAGGAAACCTAGAAAGAGAATTATATAGTGAGCATATTATGGGGGACCACTGAGGAGTTATTGTAGAGCCGATTCTACAGGAGGTGTTTGAGTGTTGTGTTGTGTAATGAATGAACAGGACTTGAAATGTTAACCAATGCATCAGTCTAGCTTCATGGCCCGTGTTTAATGCCACATATTTTATTACTTATCATTTATTAGTATTTAGCACCTAGGTAATCATTAGCAAGTACCATGTCAATTCATCGTTTTAGTCCACTCGTTTTTGGCAATCAAACTAACGTTCCATTATATACATATATAAACCTGATGAGAATCTAGCTTCTGCCACGCTTTGAAAATATAAGAGCACCTATACTGAGAAAGCTACGCAGCTACATCTCACAGGCTAATGAAAAATATAACCTTGGCCATCATTGTATGCTTACCAGCTCTCGCTAATCTGGCGACGAAAATGATACTGATGGTAACTGACAAGTGCGCACTACCTCGTCACAATCGCCTGCTAAAGTCTTCAGGCTGGATTGCAATGTCGCTGTGATTTGGATGTTACTGAGTGCAGTGAATCTAGTCAAATGATGTTGTTTAATATTTGCACGACCTGTGAATGTTTGTCAAGCTGAAACTGTGTTGAGAAGCACATCGTATACACACAAATTACTATATCCAGATCGGAAAGCAATTGAGCAATTACCTAGAAATTGCCCATCAAAGCAAGCAGCATAATGGTATTCAAGAAGCGTGAGAGAAATTTTTTTATCCATATGAATTTTTATATTACTGCTGTATTTGGAATATCGATGTGACTTTAGTGAAAGAAACTAACTAGTGTAGGCGAGATCGGGTTTATAGGTGTAGCTGTTTAGCCAATTTTTCCAGTTTTGTCGGTGAGATTTTCTTGACGTAATCGTGATCTTTTGTGATAAGTTGTTGTAAACTTTTTTACGTTGGTTTCTACTTTGCAGATTAATTTATGTTGTGTGGTGCGTTCGTTCGTGCGTGCGTGTGTTTTCGTGTACGAGCTCATCTTTTTAATTCACTTTGTGTTATAAACAACGTCAGCGGCGTTTACTAGTACCACCATTCATTCGTTATAGATGATTCTTACGCTGATCATGAGTTCTCGTGAAAAAAGCTGTTGGTCTCGGTAATGTTAAATATCGTTGCGTAGGTACGCACGCTGGCATTCCATCGCAGCCGACAGAGGACAGTGTTTTACGTTTACAGTAGCAACTATGAACCGTAGCAGCCTATGCGCGGTCTATATTGCGCGCGCCTATGTTGCGATTTAGTGTTACTTAAAGCGTATAATCTTGCTCCACTGGAGCTGACCTTGCACTATCCAAACGTTCGCTTGTAAATACGGTGTTAATGAGAATAAATCTAAATGCCTGCCAGAGCAAACGTAAATTCCTGCATTCCACGGTGTTCTCTGCCTTCTCTCACTCGCACCAACACTGTCGTAGGCAAATATTTCAGACAAGGTGAATACGTCTATCAAAGCCGCGTAGGAAGCTACCACTATTTCACACGATGCTTGAAACTACTGAAACTATAACTGTAGTATTAAATATTATTGCATATTTTCGAGATACCCTATTACCACAATTATAACCACAACCAAAAATAATAACTTTATGAAAGATTGGGCACTAGTCTAGAAGACATGTCCCACAATACTTGAATACATGGGTCATATCTTCTAGACTAGCTCCAAAAGATTGGGGTATCAGAATTTGCTCCGACCATACCTAGGAATATGAAATACAATGATAAACGTTTATACATGCATTGTGATATAATCCAAAGGGTGGGCATAATAGGAGGGGTTTTGAAATGGCAATAATACTTTTACTAATGCTCGTAGCAAGTCTTTTGGCTTTTGTCAAGGAGTCCATTGTCTCTTAGCAAGGAATTATTTTGTGGGGTCAAATAATTAGCGTAAACAAAGTAATACTGTCATATTTTCTTTCATTTTTGAAATTTCACATTAACGATAGACATTTTCGTCAGACATAAAGGAGAAATCGCAACTGAAAAGTTTCATGAATATAACGATATAAATACCATGTTTTTCTGAGAAATCGTGTGTATATACATGCTCGCAATATATCTTACTGCATCCTGATAATCTACAACAAGTGAAAACCGTATTCTGCCTTTTTAACATCGTATATCGTCGCAGAGTTAAATGTTTTCTGTGAGTCAGTGGCGTCTTGAAGTCATTGCTACTTTTATACACTAAAACATTATATAAAGTTGCCCTACGCGTAATAAATTTATGCTTTTGCAGCCAATTAAAGTGAGAAATATTGGTAAAAGAAACGCGGATACATAGGATCTATATATGCAACGTGCACAGCATAGAGATGGTACAGCGACGCGCTGTAGGCCTATGCTCTACTAATGACCAAATGATTTAATTCATATTAGAATCACCTAGATTGACGGCAGTATAGAGTCCGGCCGTTTCACTTACCTGATAGAGTTGATACGTACCTGTGCGCGTTCACAAATTTCGAAATGATATCATTTTATTTAAAAGTTCTTATTAAAAATTCTTGCATTTTCTCAAATATAATGGATAATTTAATTAAATCTTTACGAAATGTGTCTGCAATAAACGTTGAGACATATACACGCAATTGAATTATTACTAGTTTTATTGACTGATCAATGTGAGATTCGAGTAACAATATACATATTTCAAGGAATTATTATTTTGAATACCCTCTATAAAAATCATGGAGGTCTACGTGAAATAAAACCATTTTTTATACCACGATCCTTGCTTAGTTGTACTAAACATGCCTTCTTTCTCTTGAAAATAATAACACGCACGTATAGGTGTGGGCGGTGCTACGTCACAGATCAGTAGTCACGTACATACCGATGAAAACAACACGATCGCGTCACTGGCGCCCATAGATTACTGCATAACGATACAAATTATCCGTCACTTGGTTTGAAAGTTTTAATGAGTTTTTTTCATGAAATTTCTTCTATTATGCCTTACGAGTATATAGATAGCAGTAGCTATCTATATAGCTTTCTGTAGCTATAATTATGACATTATGTAAGATACATATGCACTGCAAATATAAAATATTTTAAGCTATTCTTATTTGTTTGCTTTGCATTAGTTGAATAAAATTACCCCAGGTCTCGTGAAACAAAAACAAAGTCCAAGTTTACACATGCGCGCACACGCACACGCACACGCACACACAGTGACAAACTCACACGCACACGCACACGCACTCGCACACACAGTGACACACTCACACGCACACGCACAAGCACACGCACACACACGCACACACAGTGACACACTCACACGCACACGCACAAGCATACGCACACACACGCACACACAGTGACACACTCACACGCACACGCATAGCCATACGCACACGCACACGCACACACACGCACACACATGGACACGCACGCACGCACGCACGCACGCACGCACGCACGCACACGCACACACGCACACACAGTGACACACTCACACGCACACGCATAGCCA